AACTTGTCACAGAGTGGTTTTGTAGCACAGCCGCTCCTGTAGTAGGGCTCAACAACTACACCTGGAGAAGAAATGCAAAACAGACAGTAAGAAAAGAAAAAGGGAGCACTGGGTTCATAGTAATTCCTCATTCACGCCAACACAGCTTTATAAAATGCATCTCTCTGAAAACCAATTGTTTTGGTCCACATGCCACATTGTACAGAAACTGTAGAAAAGCTATATGAACCAAGATGGCAAGCAAATTAAATTTTAAAATAACACCTAGAAACATCAAGAGTGGGGAATGAATTAAACCTTCCACTAGAACGCACTGAGGGCAGGACTTCTTGCCCTCTAGTCAAAATTTAAGTAATTCCTAAAACTGCAATGTAAAACAATGTTTCTGAGAAATGCACTTCTTGCTTTCATGTCAAACAATACTGTAACGAAATGGCTGAATGAACCAGAGGATGGTTGATCCTAATTATGTGGAATAGTTAAAAGTTGGGAAAAGCCCAACTGAAGATTCTGTGACAGTTAGGGAGGCTGCTGGAGGCAGTCCAGGAAAGTTAGTCAGTGAGTTATGGTCTGGAAAAAAAAAGCTGAGGAACAGCTGGAAAACTGGTTAAAGAAATAAGCTAAATATAGTTTGAAACCAGTTCTTACGTATCCACATAACAGTCCTTTTGGAAGAAAGGAATATATTGAGAGAAACTCACATTGAAACATTGTTCTGCAAGCAGTTGATTTTATGTAATCACTAAGCATGTACAATAAGAATTATGCAAATAAACTGAGCTACATGTTTCATCTTATAAACAAAGCCTCTCTCTCTTAATCTCTCGGTTAGAGATCTCAGTCAGTCTCTCTGCTTACGTTTCAAATGGTGGCAAGCGGTAGGAAGATGGAATAAAAGGCACCCCTGCCTGAAGTTTGTTTGTTTTGTTTGTTTTGTCTGCTATTTCATTTCAGATACCATTCAGAAGGTAACAGGCCTGTAGCGGGGGGGGGGGGGGGGGGGGTTCAACCCCCCCCCCCTGAAATTTTTCAAGTTAAAAAAAAATTAATCTGGTTTACTCATGAATTTTAACTGGTTAACCAAATGCCATGCTAAGTCTATGAGACGCAAAAAAATAAGAGTCCCTCCAGAACTGCAATCACTATCTCAAGCAAATATTGACAATTTATTCACACCGTCATTACTTGCAGCAATAGCGAAGCAACCAAGTTTGGGAGTGTTGAATGCTCTCATTAAGGAGGCCAGACTTGGTGGAGGTGGTTGCCAGGGGCGGAGCTGAGGGCTATTGAAGGCTGCTCTGCCCCTGCTGTGCTCTTTGCTTCAACGTGAGCTAAGAGGCAGGTTTCAACTCCCCCCCCCCCCCCCCCCGAAAATTTCAACCCTCCCCGAAATTTTTTTCTGGCTATGGCGCTGGAAGGTTCACACTCTCATTTTGCCACTGGTATGCCATGAAATTGTAGAAATGTATCAGCAATGCTGGCAGTAGCCACTGGGGGCAGTAGAGTAGCAAATAGGTGAGGTGACAAAGAGGATGAAAATTTGTAAATCAACTGGTGAATTGGGCCATGGCCATTGTACAGGCTCATGCACAAACATTCATGCACAGTCAATGTATATTATGGAATGTGTCAGTTAACAAGTCTGTGTTTTCCTAAGCACCACTTGTTTAAGAGAAAATGTGGTGGAGAGAGACAAATATAGCATTGAAAGAGAAGATATAGGTTCTTATACAACAAAAAGAAAAGCCGTTCAAAATGTCTTTGTTCAAAGCATACACAATTTACCTGTAAAACCAAACAATCGAATCTAGCAAACCTTGCGTGAGTAAAGAAAAACATTTTAAACCTCCAGAGATCAAAAATGCAACCTGATGTATCTTTTTCTTTCACTCACATGGACACTTCTTAGAATTTTCACTTTGGTGAAATAGAAATAAGGAAACGAAATATACCATAGATACTCAAAGATAAGCTGAGTTTTTCAGCCCTTCTTTTGGGCTGAAACCCCTCCCTCGGCTTATGATGGGGTCAAGACTCTGATGCCGCCCTCGCTGTTACAGTGATTTTCAGCCATTGCTTGCAATATATGATATATTTCTCTGTCCTCCCTTAACAGTGTGTTTTGTTTTCCAAAGTCTCTCTCACTCCGCTTCTCCTCCGAGGCTAAAGTTGCCCATTTTGGAAACTCTTTTTTTTGAGAGAGGGAGTGAAAGAGAGAATGTTTTGAAATGGGAACGTTTTGAAAAGAGAAAGGAGGGTGAGATAAGCCCTTGCAAGTCAGGAAGAAGAAAAAGATTGCATGGGTGGAGGGGGAAGAAAAAGAGGACCCATCCAGACAGCCCCTTTATTGCGGAAACTTCTACAATAAAAAAGGGGTCTGTCCAGATGACGTTCTGGACAACCCACAATTTGCCACAAAACAGAAAAATCCTGGTTTGTGGCAAATTAATTAGATAGTGGATTTATTCCGCACCTTCTTAGTGGGCGTGGGATAAACCCACTACTTCCAGTGTCTGGACTGCAGACGCCAGAGTCTATACGTTACCTATAGATTTAGGCTTTAAAACATGTCGAGAAGAGCTTGTGAGGCAAGTTTCTGACTCTTCTCAAATCAAATCATTTATTTCGGTCATAGACCAGCACAGGAAATAGAAGTCACAGTTTCATACAAACTTGGTACGTTTAGTACATTAAAAATATAAATATAAATACTGAAGCACAATAGGGGTGAGGAAGCGAAAGGGGAAACAGGGTAAAAACATACAATGCACAGGTCCATCAGCAAATTATAGATTCAGGGAAGATGATTACTGGACACACAGTTAACTTTTGGGACTAGTCATGCCCTGGCGGATTTCGTATGCAGCTCCACAGAGCTTTGCAACATTGTAGGTTGTAACTGAATTAATATCTGCAAGTAGCATGGAGGTATAAAATTGTTCTGAATGGCCTGGGTGCTTGTATAAGCCTGGCACGGATATCCCTGTAGAACGGGCACTCAAGGAGCACATGTTCTATTGTTTCTATATGACCTGATTCACAGGGGAAGAGTCTCTCTAGGAAAGGGATCTTCCGGTAGCGGCCTTCGAGTACAGCTGATGAGAGAGCGTGGCATCAAGCCAGGGTAAAAGCCCTTCGATGAATAGGAACCTCTATGTTTGTTAAATATGCCACAGGGGAGGCAAGATATCTGCTGTCTTCATTGATAAGGAAGGTTGGAACGGAGACCAGATCAAGTTGGCGCTCTGTGTCTGTGATACGTTGTTTAATAGGTGCTTTGGCTCGATTGTAATCTATTGGCTTGATTGTAATCTATAGCCAATAGTAGACCTGGAGAAAATCCCAATGAGGGATTTTGGATGTTACCGCCTGCTTCCATGTGGATTGGAAGTCATCCTCCATGGTTAGTGGGGCAAGACCAAGGGGTGCACGGGATAGTCTGAGCCAGAGGTTGAGTATGGCCACCCACACCCTGGCCTCCACTCTCATAAAGCCCGTCTCTAGTCGCAGGGTGGCATTAGAAACACATTTAGGTACCTGCAAGGCCGATCTCAGAAACTTTGACTGAATCAGCTCTAATGGGGCAAAACTGGGGAAGGGGCCCAGCTGAGCACCATACAAGAGTTGGGCTAATGGCTTAGCTTCAAACAGTTTGAGCACTGCCAGTGTAAAGTGGCCCCCTCTTGACTTAAGATATTTAAGAATGGCAATTGAGCTCCTCTACACGGTGTTGGCTATCTTGATCTCCTAGATATTTGAAGCATGTGATTTATTCAATTTTATGACCGTCTATACTCTAAGAGTAATGCCTTGGTCTTTTAGAGAAAGCCATGATTTTGGTTTTATTGTTTTAAGTTGGACTCTTCTCATTTCTTCCTGTTTTTCTGCTCAGACATGCCCACTAAGGGATTCAGGACACAGCTGCTATTTACTCTGCCTGTTGTAGACTTACTTACTTAGGTGATCCCTCGTAGTCCGAGGATGATGGTTCTCCAAGTGTAGTGTCCTGGCGGTAGGTCCGTAGGTGACTGTGGAGCCCTATTCTTGATCTGCACCTTCTCCCAACGTGAGGGCATCGGTTTCCAGATGGAAGGCGGTCCCGGTCGGTTGGCTTGCGCCTTCCTCTTGGCACGTTTTTCTCTTTTGCTCTCCATTCGTGCCTCTTCAAATTCTACAGCACTGCTGGTCACAGCTGACTGCCAACTGCAGCGCTCACAGGTCAGGGCTTCCCAGTTCTCAATGTCTAAGCCAGAGTTTTTAAGGTTGGCTTTGAGCCCATCTTTAAATCGCTTTTCCTGTCCACCAACATTCCTTTTTTCCGTTCTTGAGTTCGGAATAGAGCAACTGATTTGGGAAATGGTGGTCGGGCATCTGGACAACATGGCCAGTCCAGCAGAGTTGATGGCAGAGGACCATCTCTTCAATGCTGGTGGTCTTTGCTTCTTCCAGCATGCTGACATTTGTCCACTTGTCTTCCCATGAGATTTGCAGTATTTTTTGGAGACAGCGCTGATGGAATTGTTCCAGGAGTTGCATGTGATGTCTGTAGACAGTCCATGTCTCGCAGGTGTATAGCAGGGTTGGAAGGACAATAGCTTTATAAACAAGCACCTTGGTATCCCTATGGATGTCCTGGTCCTCAAACACTCTCTGCTTCTTTTGTAGACAGACATTAATGGTTATGGCTCGATCAACAAGAAAAGAATTCCATTCTTTCAAACTGGGTTTTATTGCATGGTTTACAGCAGACATGGTGCTGCAACCCAACATAAAAGCCTTTCTTTCTCAAGCTCTCCTTCAAATACCTGGTCCATAAAGGTCAAAGAGAAAGGGGGTTGAATGAGTATTAAAAAGACATTGAAAAAAGAAGCTTCTTTATCAGATCCTTACATAACTGAGGCAGGCTTGCTTCAAATGTACCAATTCAGACATTCTTCATCATTTACCTAACAAACAGATTGTGCTAAACAGGCACATTGTGTGATAACAGCTAATGATCTTTACAAGTCTAGAAATTTGGATTTACCTAATGTAATGCTTTGCATTACTTCCATGCAGTAGTATTCATCTCCAGAACAATCCACTCTGGCTGTTCCACATTCAGAACGGCTTTTGGCAAAGCAGGCTGGGCATTGCTTCCCATTGGGCATGATGAACCCTGGTTGGACTGAAACAAAATAGAAGGAGTTCATCATCTGTGCAGGTAAAAGTGGCATCTCTGCTTGGTTCCATAAAGTCATGCTACATGAGCAATTAAACACTAAGTTCATTCTGCAAAATTAGATGAAAATCCTAATAAGACACTGATAGCGTGCGCCCAAATGTATGTGGATATTTCCAGCATGGATTAAAAAGTATATGCAGGATCAGGAGGATCTGCATTCACACATTATTCCAGAAAGCTCAAACCACTCCAAAACTTTAGAGAACATATACATCACACATGAAATATGTTAACAGCTACACTGTCTACAAGGGAAAAATGATGTTTTGATCTAGCTGAAATTCAAAACTAGTGGAGAATTAAGACACGTTCAAGTCATTTCCTGTTGATGGACATGTAGCAACAACCATCTGGATGAAAGGCTTGTATGGAGAAGAGCTGTAGGTATCCACCTGTTCTTTGTTAACATGAAAAACATGTGTGTGTGTGTGTGTGTGTGTGTGTGTGTGTATTGGGGGACAGGGGCTCCTTTGCAGCCAAAGGTGGCGGACATCCATCCAGTCGGTGAAAACAAGACCTGGGGCTGACTGTAGCTCAGATCACGAACTTCTTATTGCCCAATTTAGAATAAAACTAAAGAGATCAGGTAAAATACACAGACGAGTTAGATATGATCTCACTAACATTCCTAGCGAATATACAGTGGAAGTGAAGAACAGATTTGAAGGACTAGATTTAGTAAACAGAGTCCCAGAAGAACTATGGACAGAAGTCCGCGACATTGTTCAGGAGGTGGCAACAAAGTATGTCCCAAAGAAAAAGAAAACCAAGAAGGCAAAATGGTTGTCTGCTGAGACACTGGAAGTAGCCCAAGAAAGGAGGAAAGCAAAAGGAAACAGTGATAAGGGGAGATATGCCCAATTAAATGCGCAATTCCAGAGGTTAGCCAGAAGAGATAAGGAACTGTATTTTTAAACAAGCAATGCATGGAAGTGGAAGAAGACAACAGAATAGAAAGGACCAGAAACCTCTTGGAAAATTAGAAACATTGAAGGTAAATTTCAGGCAAAAATTGGCATGATAAGAAACAAAGATGGCAGGGACCTAGCAAAAGCTGAAGAGATCAAGAGAAAGTGGCGAGACTATACAGAAGATCTTTATAGGAAGGATAATAATATAGAGGATAGTTTTGACGGTGTGGTGAATGAATTAGAACCAGACATCCTGAGGAGTGAGGTTGAATGGGCCTTAAGAAGCATTGCTAACAACAAGGCAGCAGGAGACGACGGGATCCCAGCTGAACTGTTTAAAATCTTAAAAGATGATGCTGTCAAGGTGATGCATGCCATATGCCAGCAAATATGGAAAACACAAGAATGGCCATCAGACTGGAAAAAATCAACTTATATCCCCATACCAAAAAAGGGAAATGCGAAAGACTGCTCAAACTTCCATACAGTGGCCCTGATTTCTCATGCCAGTAAGGTAATGCTCAAGATCCTGCAAGGAAGACTCCAGCAATACATGGAGCGAGAGTTGCCAGATGTTCAAGCTGGGTTTAAAAAAGGCAGAGGAAAGAGAGACCAAATTGCCAATATCCGCTGGATAATGGAGAAAGGCAGGGAGTTTCAGAAAAACATCTATTTCTGCTTCATTGACTATTCTAAAGCCTTTGACTGTGTGGATCATAATAAATTGTGGCAAGTTCTTGGTGGGATGGGCATACCAAGCCACCTTGTCTCTCTCCTGAGGAATCTGTACAAGGACCAAGTAGCAACAGTCAGAACTGACCACGGAACAACAGACTGGTTCCAGATTGGGAAAGGCGTACGGCAAGGCTGCATCCTCTCACCCAACCTTTTTAACTTGTATGCAGAACACATCATGCGATGTGCGGGGCTGGATGAATGCAAAGCTGGGGTGAAAATTGCTGGGAAGAAACATTAACAACCTCAGATATGCAGATGACACCACTCTGATGGCCGAAAGCGAGGAGGAGCTGAGGAGCCTTCTAATCAAGGTGAAAGAAGAAAGCAAAAGCTGGGTTGCAGCTAAACATCAAAAAAACCAAGATTATGGCAACAAGAATGATTGACAACTGGGAAATAGAGGGAGAAAACGTGGAGGCTGTGACAGACTTTGTATTTCTAGGCGCAAAGATTACTGCAGATGCAGACTGCGGCCAGGAAATCAGAAGACGCTTACTTCTTGGGAGGAGAGCAGTGTCCAGTCTCGATAAAATAGTAAAGAGTAGAGACATCACACTGGCAACAAAGATCCGCCTAGTCAAAGCCATGGTATTCCCTGTAGTAACCTACGGATGTGAGAGCTGGACCTTAGGGAAGGCTGAGCGAAGGAAGATAGATGCTTTTGATCTGTGGTGTTGGAGGAAAGTTCTGAGAGTGCCTTGGACTGTGAGAAGATCCAACCAGTCCATCCTCCAGGAAATAAAGCCCGACTGCTCACTGGAGGGAAGGATACTAGAGACAAAGTTGAAGTACTTTGGCCACATCATGAGGAGCCAGCAAAGCCTAGAGAAGACAATTATGCTGGGGAAAGTGGAAGGCAAAAGGAAGAGGGGCCGACCAAGGGCAAGATGGATGGATGGCATCCTTGAAGTGACTGGACTGACCTTGAAGGAGCTGGGGGTGGTGACGGCCGACAGGGAGCTCTGGCATGGGCTGGTCCATGAGGTCACGAAGAGTCGGAGACGACTGAATGAATGAACAACAACAACAACATTGGCAGGTGAAACTATGGCTTCGTAGCTATATCTGGAAATGGACCTTCCAATGCAGTATTTCAGCCAAAGCACCAGACTGTCAGATCAATCATCCCTATACTGAGGAGTTGTGTTATTACTCCTATTCATTATCTTGTGGCAATAATGCAAATTTTCTCTCACCAATAATAATAATATAATAATACTTTATTTATATACCGCCCTATTTCCCCAGGGGGACTCATTGCGGTTTACAACAAAAGTAACAGAGTGACAAACATTCAATGCCAAAGCAAACAAACAACAAATCTACTGGAGCAAAAGGAGTCCCCGGTGGCGCAGTGGGTTAAACCCCTGTGCCGGCAGGACTGACGACCAACAGGTCGCAGGTTCGAATCCGGGGAGAGGCGGATGAGCTCCCTCTATCAGCTCCAGCTCCTCATGCGGGGACATGAGAGAAGCCTCCCACAAGGATGATAAAAGATCAAATCATCCAGGCGTCCCCTGGGCAACGTCCTTGCAGACGGCCAATTCTCTCACACAGAAGCAACTTGCAGTTTCTCAAGTTGCTCCTGACATGACAAAAAAAAAAAAACTGGAGCTGCCACAGCCTGTTGAAGACCGATGATGAGGCCTTCTTGGGCACAGCCTGCTAAAGGGCGATGACGAGGCCCTCCAGAACCTGGACTAGTGGAGGGCAATGAGGAGGCCCTCCAGGGCCTGGCCTGTTGAAGGGCAATGATGAGGTCCTCCAGGTCCTGGCCTGATGGAAGGCAATGATGAAGCCTTATTGGGCCTAGCCTGGTGGAATGTGCTGCTTAGGGTGGCAAAATCTATATAAATAAAAATGTCATGTTCGTTTGTGGACTTAACATAACTCAAAAACCACTGGACGAATTGACAGCAAATTTGGACAGCATACACCTAACAACCCAATGTATGTCCTACACTCAAAAAAATTGATTTTGCCATTTGGGAGTTGTAGTTGCTGGGATTTATAGTACACTTACAATCAAAGAACATTCTGAACCCCACCAATGATGGACCAAACATGGCACACAGGACTCCCATAACCAACAGAAAACAGTAGAAGGGTTTGGTGGCCATTGATCATGAGTTTAGGAGTTGTAGTTCACCTATATCCAGAAAGCACTGTGGACTCAAACAATGATGGACCTGGACCAAACTTGGCACAAATATTCCATATGCCCAAATATGAACACAGATGGAGTTTGAGAGAAATAGACATTGACATTTGGGAGTTGTAGTTACTGTGATTTATAGTTCACCTACAATCAAAGAGCATTCTGAAGCCCACGAACGACGGATTGGGCCAAACTTTCCACACAGAACCCCCATGACCAACAGAAAATACTTAAGGCCATCCAGTCCAACTCCCTTCACCAGGGCAAGAAAACTTAATCAAAGCCCTCCTGACAAAGAGCCATTCTTCCATAGATATAGATAGATAGATAGATATGATTCACACACAGAGAGAGATAGCATCATAGATTTGAAAGGGACCCCTAAAGAAGGACAATTAGATGTTGCATGTTCCATAGTAGACAAACCATATGATCTCCACATCAACACTGACAAAGAAACAACAAGAAATACTGTTTATCCTCAAGCATCAAGACATTACATATATTAGAAACCAACACATTCTAATTACTTTATTTTCCAGATCACCAGACTGGGCGACAGCAATGCGTGGCAGGGGACGGCTAGTCTATATAAATATAAATGTAATGTTCGTTTGTGGGATTAACATAACTCAAAAACCACTGGACAAATTGACACCAAATTTGGACACAATGCACCTATCAGGCCAACATGTGATCATCACTCATAAAAACATTGAAAAATACAGCAGAGGAGACTTAAAAAGCAAAAAATACATTGCAACGCATGCACTAAACCACATATATACATATATACAGTGTCCCCTTGCTACTTCGTGGTTTGCTTATTGTGGACTCATTATATCGTGGGGAGCAGCGAGGGAACACTGTATAGCTGCTCCCCGTTGGTTTCCTCGCCAGGCTAGGTGCCCTGGTGCACTCAGCCTGGTGAGGAAGGAACCCTCCAAGGTGGGGAGCAGCGGAGGTGGTGAAGAGGGCGAGGCCAATGCCGAGGCCCTCCTTGCTCCTCCTCTGCTCTGTGCTCCTTTCTCGCCAGGCAGGGTGCCAGCCTGGTGAGGAAGAGACCCTCCGAGGCATGGAGCAGCAGAGGGGGCAAAGAGGAGGCTGCTGCCAAAGAGGGCCTCGGCAGCGGCGGCTTCCCCCTCTCTCTTCCGTGCTCCTTACTCCTGAGGCTGGGCACCAGGCTTGGGTGACCAGTCTGGTGAGGATGGGACCCTCTGAGGCACAGAGCAATGGAGGGGGGCACGGAGGGGGCCACTGCCAAAGAGGGCCTCGGCAGCAGCAGCTTCCCCCTCCACTGCTCTGCGTTCTTTCTTTGCCAGGCTGGGCACCAGGCTTGGGTGCCCAGCCTGGTGAGAAAGGGACCCTCCAAGGCACGGAGCAGCAAAGGGGGGCGAGGAGGAGGCTGCTGCCAAAGAGAGCCTCGGCAGCGGTGGCTTCCCCCTCACCCCTCTGCTACTCTGTGCTCCTTCCTCGGTAGGCTGGGCACCAGGCTTGACACCCAGCCTGGCGAGGAAAGGACCCTCTGAGTCACGGAGCAGCAGAGGGGGTGAAGAGGAGACGGCTGCCAAAGAGCGCTTCGATGGCGGCGGCTTCTCCCATGCCCCTCTGATGCTCTGCGCTCCTCCTTACCAGGCATGGCACCAGGCTTGGCCGCCCAGTCTGGCAAGGAAGGGACCCTCTGAGGTACGGAGCAGCGGAGGGGGAGAGGAGGAGGCTGCTGCCAAAGTAGGGACATTCTGCCCACTCAAGTGAGTGGAGCATCCCTACTTCACGGATTTTCACTTATCACGGGTGGTCCTGGAACGGAACACTCACGATAAGTGAAGGGTCACTGTATACAAATATATATATATATACATATATACACACACAAAACACATATGCACAGTCTAGGCCACAGCAACACATGGTAGGGGTGGCTAGTGTTACATAAGAGCAAAACAGAAGCCATTTGCCAACTAGGTTTGATGGGAAGGGGCTACCTGTCCATTACTTCAAGCTTCCCTGTTGAGATGTTTTTGGTATGGTGTTGATTTTTGTTATCTTACCCTATTCTACGGCTAGCTCTCTGTGAGTTCCACTGTGTTTGTTTCTTTAACATTACAGCTTTCCAAGCAGTGTTTGGAGAAGGACCGTGTAAGACACAATGCATTGTTCGCAGACCTGATGAAATATTTCATGCTTCAAACAAAACCTAAATTCTCTGTCAGGTCTTTGAGGCACCACTGAGTGTGAGGGTGGGAGTGAGAATGTTCTGTTGGCCAGCTCTCTATCTTTTGCTCAAAACTTTAGGGCAGAAGAAAAGGAGTAAGAAAAAGAATAAGGCACTTGTACCATACTGTATGGCTCTCCTCCGCATAAAGACTATGTAAGGCACAAAGACAGAGATAAGTTACTTAGTGGGATGCAAGACAGCATCATTTATTATGTCAAAGGAGAAAATTGATTCCTTGGCTTAAGGAAGGAATTGATATCCTTTTTGACTGCTGAATATCTTGAATGCAGGTGTTTATGGTTATCTATACTGTACAAATTTCTCTTTCTGATTGTTCTAATCTATCTCTGAATATCCCTAATAGGCACATTCCTCGGGTTTTTTAAAAACTTTGTTGTAGATCATTTTATTTGTTTCCATTATTATTCTTTTCCAACAGACTTGGACCAGTTCACAAGACCACCATACATGAAAAAAGTCCCCTTTTTTGTTTTGCACCTCCAACAGGAACCTGATTGTGAGTGGCCCATCCTTGAAAGGATCATTAGATCTATGAGTGTTGCAAAACACTTTTTTCTTATGGAGTAAACATTGTGGATGACAAATCAAGCTCAGTGTTGCTTTTCATCAGAAAAAGAAGAGCCCAATTGCTTTGAAAGAGGTCCTCATGCTACTCCATCTCAAGGAAGGATTGGAACTGCCCAGCCCTCCTTCCATTGCTCTTATAAACTGTTACCCAGCCATTTCTGGAGGGGTGCTATTCCAGATCTATAGAAAAGTCAACCTTCGGAATACTTACATCGAGCAACAGCCTTCTTGCAGTTGTTTCCCTCACAACAAATGACCTTTGACCGTTCATATCTCCCTCGGCCCATATTCAGAGACTGAAAAGGCGGATTACACATTTTTCTCTCCGCACAGGATTTTATTGCATACAATTGTGGTTTTCCTTCTGAAAATAAGAAATTCACGTACTCAAACTGAGAAAATATCAATTCTCACTTGTTCACAGCTTCTTGGGATAAACCAATTTCAAGCAATATCTCATCCCATGTGTTTCTTCTATGTTTGGTTTATACCTCCAAGCAATAAATTATGCATTTTATTTCATTCCTCAGATAATGGCCATGTGCATGTTAATGGAAAACTGCAGCTAGAGCCATGTGTCTCCATAATGATCCCCCCCCTCCTTCTTACCTGGCCCCCAAACGGCCATGGCAGCATGTACGAGGGGCTGCTAATAAGTCTTTGGCTTTGTGTTCTTGTTTTGTTTCTATGGTAATAAATGTTACATCACATGAAAGCTTTATGTGTCTCATATATGTTTGCAAATTTTTGTTTTTGTAGCTTATGGCAACAGCGATCTAGGCATGTGGGAAAACAAAATGCTGGAGTCTAAGGCGATATTTACAGCAAATGAGAGCAGAGGAGTGATAAAACTCTTGTTTCTGAAAGAAAAGTCCACGAAGGATATTCATGGTGCTAGGTCATAGACAATGGGGGATCAATGCCCTTCATATTCTACAGTTAAGAACTGGGCTGTCAAATTTAGAACGGGCCACTTCAGCACCAATGATGAGGAACGTCCTGAACAGCTGAGAGTGGTTGTTGTTCTGGAGATCGTGGATGCTGTGCACAACCTCATACTGGAGAATAGGCAAATTTCAGCTAAAGGAATAGCAGACATCACGGGGAATTCCCGTGAACATGTTTGTGTCATTATCCGTGAACATTTGAACATGAAGAAGCTCTCTGCAAAGTGGGTCCCCAAATGTTTGACAACAGATCAGAAAAGCATGCAAGTGAAAACTTCCTAGTCCATTTGTCAGCATTTCCAGACTGATAAGAACTTGTTAGATTGACTATTTGTATTATCCGTAAACTAAGGAGCAGTCAAAAGAGTGGAGGCAACATGGTTCCCCTCGTCCAAAGAAGTTCAGGGTGCAAAAATCAGCCACTAAGGTGGTGGCGTCTGTGTTCTGGGATAAGGAAGGTGTGCTGCTAGTGCACTACCTTCAGAATGGTTCCACCATCAGTGCAAGGTATTACACCGAACTTTTGGACCAATTGAAGGCAGTTCTGAAGGCCAAAAGGCATGGCAAGCTGTCCAAAGGAATCTTGTTCCTGCAAGACAACGCCTCCGCTCAACTGCACAAGCGACCATGGCAAAACTGGTGGAGCTAGGCTTCCAGCTGGTTGACCACCCACCTTATTCACCAGATCCAGTTCCCTCCAACTATCATCTGTTTCCAAACCTGAAGAAACACCTCAAGGGTACCAAATTTCACACCATTTCTGATGCCATGGCTGCTACGGATGATTGGTTTGAGGCACAACCGAAATCTTTCTTTTTGCAAGGCTTACAGAACATGGAATACCAATGTAAGAAGTGTGTTGATATCAGTGGAGAGTATGTGGAATAAATGTAAAGTTTCATCTTCCTATCTCGTTTCTTTCTGGATAAAGCCAAAGACTTATCAGCAGCCCCTCGTATCAGGTGTTTCAAAGCTGCCTTGAGAGGAGGAGGAATGGAACCGATGCAGGTGGAGAACACCTGCTTCGTAACATTGAACAAAAGAACATTTATAAGCAAATATGCTTTACTAATCCTGTAGTCAACTGCACCAGCTCGTTAATGTTGTTTTGTTACTAATATTTCCAGTATTATGACCTTAACAATTCCCCCTTGCTCTACTCTCATATGGGATCCTAAATATTTTACTGAAATAATGGGAACATCTGGGTTGTTGTGTATTTTCTGGGCTGTATGCCCATGTTCCAGAGGCATTCTCTCCTGACATTTTGCCTGCATCTATGGCAGGCATCCTCAGAGGTTGTGAGGTCTGTTGGAAACTAGGAAAATTGGGTTTATATATCTGTGGAATGTCCAGGGTGGGAGAAGGAACTCTTGTCTGCTGGAGGTCGGTGTGAATGTAGCAACTGGCCACCTTGATTAGCATTTAATGGCTTAGCAGTTTTCTAGGTCTGGCTTTTTACTGCCCGGGGGAATCCTTTGTTGGGAGGTGATTAGTTGGCCCTGATCAAGATGGCCAATTGAAACATTTACACCTACCTCAAACGGACAAGAATTCTTTCTCCCACCCTGGACATTCCACAGATATATAAACCCATCTCCAGATCAGATATTTGATCTGGGGATGGGATCTTAGAAACTGCTTTCTTAACCAATTTTATAGGGGCCAACACATTGGTTAAATCTCCAACATCTACAGGCTGGGGTGATATTAATAATGGAGTTTCCCAGTTTCCAACAGACCTCACAACCTCTGAGGATGCCTGCCATATATGCAGGCTAAACGTCAGGAGAGAATGCCTCTGGAACGTGGCCATACAACCCGGAAAACACACAACAACCCAGTGATTCCGGCCATGAAGGTGTTCAACAATACAATGGGAAAATCATTTATATGAACTAAAGACTCACCATGTGTGTTTTCTACTAACATTACAGCACAGATGGTTTGAGTTCTATTACACCGCTGACGATGTCCTGAACATGTAGAGCTTCTGCTTCTACAAACTTCACACTCGAAAGATCTACCTGGAAAAGAGGGATAGGAAACAGATTCATATCCACCTGTACAGTTGTGTACAACTTGTTTTCCTCCTTTCCGTGGAGAACAACAACAATCTTCCTCAATAGGGATAGGTGTTGTCATCTCTATAGTCTGTGTAAACCAGAAGTTATCACTGGCAAACTTCAGTGTAGAATTTTTTAAAAGTGAGTAGTATCTTTGCTATTTATGCACAAACACCAATTCTTGCATAGAAAATATATTTCATGAGGGAGAAAAAAAGACAGAAAAGGCATATATTAGCCCAGGTTTCAGTCATATTTAGAGGAAGTTTTCTGATTCCAATGCCAAAACACTGCTTCCAGTTGTTTTGCATAAATTGTATTTTCCTGTTGAAATATAAAATTGTGAATAGTTATAAAATCTTGGTTGGCTCCTGAGACAGGAAGAAAAATTACTTTTTTCAAAATGAAAAAAGATACAAATCCCTTACCTTTACCACTCCTTAGAACTGCAAGGCTGAGGAAGAATAGCAGAAAAGTCTTCATGATGATGGGAAACATTGTAAAGGAAGCGAGGTCAGAAAGATCTGTAATGATATTGAAATAATACCAAATTGAACAAGTACAAGTTCTAAATTTTACAAGCAAACACAATTGGTTGGTTTCACTTGACAAATGTGTCACTTGACAAATTAATCAGTTACTCAAAAAACTAAATAGCGATTTTACAAGATTATCTGCTATATGCATTTTTTCATAGAATTGTAGAGTTGGAAGAGACCTCGTGGGCCATCCAGACCAACTCTGCCAAGAAGCAGGAAAATTGCATTCAAAGAACCCCCGACAAATGGCCATCTAGCCTCTGTTTAAAAGCCACCAAGGAAGGAGCCTCCACTACACTTAGGGGCAGAGAGTTCCACTGCTGAACAGCTCTCACAGTCAGGAAGTTCTTCCTAATGTTCAGGTGGAATCTCCTTTCCTGGAGTTTGAAGCCATAGTTCCGCATCCTAGTCTCCAAGGCAGCAGAAAACAAGCTTGCTCCCTCTTCCCGAAGACTTCCCCTCACATATTTATACATGGCCATCATGTCACCTCTCAGACTTTTATTCTGAAGGCTAAACATGTCCAGCTCTTTAAGCCACTCCTCATAGGGCTTGTTCTCCAGACCTTTGATCATTTTGACCGCCTTCCTCTGGACACCTTCTAGCTTGTCAACATCTCCCTTCAATTGCAGTGCCCAGAACTGGACACAGTATTCCAGGTGTGGTCTAACCAAGGCAGAATAGAGGGGTAGCATGACTTGATCTAGACACTATACTCCTATTTATGCAGGTCAAAATCCCATTGGCTTTTTTGGCTGCCGCATGACATTGTTGGCTCATGTTTAACTTGTTGTCCATGTGGTCTCCTGGATCTTTTTTTTACATGTACTGCTGTCAAGCCAGGCATCGTCCCCCATTCGGTATCTTTGCATTTCATTTTTTCTGCCTAAGTGGAGTATCTTGCATTTGTCCCTGTTGAACTTCATTTTTGTTAGTTTTGACTAATCTGTTAAGATTATTTTGAATTCTGCTCCTGTGTTCTGGAGTATTGGCTCTCCCTCCCAATTTGGTGTCTGCAAACTTGATGATCAGGAGGGAGTCAATTGACCTGAATTCAATAGTTATGACAATCATCCATCTAGCTAAATGCAGTCTATAGTGTGGTAAAAGTAGCACCCATTTTCAGCTCCAAAGTCTCCTGTAACATATTCATTTGAAAATATTTCATAAAAAAACCCACAGGTATGATTAAGTGATATGGTAGCAGCATTAGATGGCATATCAAAGCTCTCGTCTACAGTGTAGGGTGAACAGTATTGGTCTCCTGCCATTTCCTCCACCTGCTTCCTGCAGGTGCTTCTCCCACCTATTTTTCCATCTCCACTCTTATCGATATTGAAAACAGTTTGCCTGATTGTACGTGTCTTACAGTAACCTGTGGAGTTATACAAGTTTAAAAGTTCCATATTTTATAAGCAAGGACAACCACTTGGTTCTAAATTATTTATTTATTTACTTCATTTATATACCGCTTTTCTCAGCCCTTAGTGACTCAAAGCAGTTAACAGCAGCAATTTCAATGCACATATTATAAAATCATTAGAACATTTAAAAACAATAGCATAACAACAATTAAACATCAATATGACAAATCATTCGCGTCTCGACAATAGAATCAGAATCCAATCTCATCAATCTCAAATTCCATTGGTGCCAAATATATTAAAATTGAAGATATATTAAAATTGTTTGGGCTTGCATTTGTAATTACTTTCTTAAGCCCTTTGCATGCAACATGGCTGAATCTAAATTTGCGACCAAGTGTATACATTCTCATATTTTCAATAAAAGTGTCATTTGACAATTGGATAAGTTATTACAAGAACTAAATACTGATATTAGTAAGTTAATACTAATACTAATACTAATGTTAATTAGTATGGTAACCCCATCTTAATTTGTTCAGCAGGCAATCAATTAATATGAAATCAAAGGAAACTGTTGAAGGTTAATGGTCCACCTAAGGATACTCCATACAGTAGCAAAAAGGTCATCCCATACACTGTGTTTTGGGTTCCAATGTCTCCTTAGCTCATGCATATTTATTTTAAAACATGCCACCAAAAACAAACAGATAGCAACATGCTCTTCTACCTCAGTTGTTTTCAACCTGGGGTCCCCAGATATTTTTGGCCTACAACTCCCAGAAATCCTAGCCAGTTCACCAGCTGTTAGGATTCTTTAAGGCCAAAGACATCTCGGAACCCCAGGTTGAGAACCACTGTTCTACCTGATCTTTATTAATTACTTAGATGATGTAATAGAAGGCATAATCATCAAGTTTGCAGATGACACCAAATTGGGAGGGATAGCCAATCCCCAGAAGACAGGTGCGGAATTCAAAATGATCTGAACAGATTAGAGAGTTTGGCCAAAACTAACAAAATGGTACAACAGGTACAAAGGCAAGATACTCCACTTAGGCAGAAAAAAATGAAATGCAAAGATACAGAATGGGGAATGCCTGGCTCGAGAGCAGTACATGTGAAAAAGATCTTGGAATCCTTGTAGGCAACAAGTTAAACATGAGCCAACAATGTCATGCTTCAGCTAAAAAAGCCATTTTGGTCTGCATCTATTGGAATATAGTGTCTAGATCCAGGGAAGTCATGCTACCCCTCTATTCTATCTTGGTTAGACCACATCTGAAATACTGTGTCCAATTATGGGCACCACAATTGGAGGGAGATGTTCACAAGCTGGAATGTGTCCAGAGGAGGGTGACTAAAATAATCAAGGGTCTGGAAAACAAGCCCTATGAGGAGTGACTTAAAAAGCTGGCCACATTTTCCTGCAGAAGAGAAGGGGAAGTCATAGGGAGGATGGAGCAAGCTTGTTTTCTGCTGCCCTGGAGGCTAGGACGTGGAACAATGGCTTCAAACTACAGGAAAGGAGATTCCACCTGAGCATTAGGAAGAACTTCCTGACTGTGAGAGCTGTTCAGAAGCAGAACTCTCTGTCCTGAAGTATGGTGGAGGCGCCTTCTGTGGAGGCTTTTAAATAGAGGCTGGATGGCCACTGCTTTGAATGCATTTTTCCTGCTTCTTGGCAGGGAGTTGGACTGGATGGCCCACGACGTCTCTTCCTACTCTATGATTCTATGATTCAGTGATATGATACCAGCATTAGGTGGCACACCACAATTCCCTACTACCTTGGGGGAGAAGAGTGCTTGTTCATATGCATTTTCCTCCATCTGCTTCCTGCAGCTGCTTCTTCCACCTACTTCTTCCATCAACTTTTCCATCTCCACTCTTAGCTATATTGAAAACCGCAGGAATTCCATAAGGTTTTCTTAGTCAAGGAATAATCAAAGGTAGTTTTGCCAGTTCCTTCCTCTGAAACACACACTAAAGAATCTAGAATTTATTGGTAGTAGTAACCAAGACTAGCCCTGCTTAGCTTCCAGGATCATATATGACAGTGTTTCTCAAACTCTGCAACTCCAGGTGTTTTGGACTTCAGCTCCCACAATTCCTAACAGCTGGTGAGCTGGCTGGGATTTTGGGGAACTGAAGTCCAAAACGCCTGGAGGAGCAGAGTTCGAGAAACACTGATATAGGATGTTTTGCCTTTAGAATATTTAGACCACTTTATCGAAGGATATGCTTCCCTCCACAAAAAACAAACAAACAAGAAACAATTACATTTGGGGTTTACAATCTTACCAACAAACTATGAATAWTGTAAAGCCTTTGACAATACATTAAACTATGAATAGGTGAGTGTTTCTAGCCTACCTACYTTGTATCTTCTCCCTTTTTTTGCTGTTATAACGAAGCTCTCATAACTCCCCCATTCCTCAAGTCCACCCACACCATAAGAATGCAACCTCCATAGCTGGGATTTTGTTAAGGGCATATGTCTGTCTGTCCTGGGTTTACTGAAATGCATTTATAACTTTCTTACATCYCATGTCTTCCCATTTTGCAAGACTGCCTTAGTAGACATACATCTAAAGGGTGGTAATTCAGGAGGGTAATGCATGGGGTCCCTCAACAACATCTAGTTACAGATACAAGTAAAGAGAAAAGATTGCATCCTGTGTGCTCCTTTCCAGAAGCTGCTGGACAATTCCCGRGACCCTTGTAGTTTTTCCAATCAGTATAAGGGAGAGAACAATGGACCAACACGATTACAGATTTAGGGCCATGTAGTGACAGCTGGGAGGCAGGATTTCATCCAGGGCATACCTTTCCAGTTGTATCTGTCCAGCAGTCGTTCAATCTAGAAGTTAAAGGAAATTGCCTTAAACTGAATCAAAACACTGTTCTACCAAACCCAAGAAAAACTTTGCCACTTGGAAGGAGAATAGCATAAACGTGTGAGAAACTCTCTGGCACATTTTTACAAGGCACAATATGCCCACTTTCCTCCCCAGTTCCTCTTTGCAACCATGATCCTAAAATAAAGTTTAAAATAGCCAATATTTTTTTTCCTTTTGGTACTACATGTTTGGAAAAGTGAATGAGCTTACACAGAAAAATGGTCTCAGAGGGAAGGAGGAACAAGTAAAGTGACACCTCACCACTTGGCACTT